AAATAAAAAAATGACAGGTAAAGAGGATAGAGAAGAGGAAAATAATGCTTTGATTGTTATAGTGGTAAAAATCTGAAGTTCAAAAATATAATTTAAAATGTATAAACCAAATAGCAGAAGTGTCTCAAGTTAAAAGGGGATTAGCGATGTCACAAACCATAGTTCAATGTTAAACAAGAGCTATACAACTCTTCTTTAAATAACAACAAAATGCACATGTGTGCGTGCACACACACACACACACACACACACAAAGAAAACAAGTAACATCAAAAAGAAATACAGAAAACACGTCTACCTCATATAATAACTATAGACTCAAATATGGAAGAGTTTAGATATAAAGAGAAAAATAAGAATGATTTTATAATCCATAGGTTATTTGCCAAACCAATCATACTAATAAAAACTTAAAACATATTTGTAAAAAATCCACTTGTTCAGAGTAATGGGCAAAAAAATTTTTAATTAAATGAATTTAAAGTTTAAACATTATAACTAATAGACTAAATTAATTTGGGGTGGAAGTTAAAACTGGGCAGAGAATATTCTTTTCCACAACAGAATGCCAGCAAAATAAATTAAAATTAATTTTGGAATGAAAGTTAAAATTTGGGTGGGGAATATTCTTTTTTGTGAAGAATGCCAGTAAAAACAAGTACACAGTAAAATTTTGAGAGAGGAATATTCCCAATTACAAATATAAATATAATAACTACCACAGACAGCGGTGATTAATTGATGATAAATGGTCAGAGGAAGATGGTTAGAATACAGATGTTAAAGTTTTCTCAACCATTTTCAAATTAATGTACAAATCAGGGTGTCTTTACAAGGATAGAGCTCCTAGACTCCTCCTTAACCAAGTGACCATTCTAGCTAGTATCACCTATAATGGGACGGACACCTGGCCTTTTCTGCCCAGCAGATGGACTGAGGAAGGAAGCCTCATAACATTGACTCTGCAGTGCTCCTGGCAAAATGTTAAGATAAATTTAATCATGAGGACCCTTTCAGTCACTTCAGAATGTAGACCTTTGAGCCAGACAGCTGATCGTCCTCCTACAGACAAAGTTTTCAGCAAGAAGATAACATTGTGGATACTCTGCCCTGACAGAGTCCTGGGTGACATGCTGTCCTCTGCCAGCAGCTCTGGACTCCTGTTCTCTACAGGATAAAAATTGACAGGAGCAGGGTTTAAGTCTTGTCAATGCTGTTTGTCCATCTGGGAATTGGACTCCCTTGGTACTGATCACAATTGGAGGGGGATGAATAAAAGGAGCCTAGTGAACTGAAATCAACAAGAGCATTCTGTGGTCTAAAATTTTTTTTTAATTGCATTTTAGGTTTTGGGGTACATGCACAGAACATGCAAGATAGTTGCATAGGTACACACGTGGCAGTGTGTTTTGCTGCCTTCCTCCCCTTCACCCACATTTGGAATTTCTCCCCATGCTATCCCTCCCCAGTTCTCCCCCCTGCTGTTTCTCCCCTATTCCCCCAATAGACCCCAGTGGTGTACTGCTCTAATCCCTGTGTCCATGTGTTCTCGTTATGCATCACCCGCCTATGAGTGAGAATATGCAGTATTTCATTTTCTGTTCTTGTGTCAGTTTGCTGAGAATGATGTTCTCCAGATTCATCCATGTCCCTACAAGGACACGAACTCATCATTTTTGATTGTTGCATAATAAGTATTTATGGTGTATATGTGCCACATTTTCCCAGTCCAGTCTATCATTAATGGGCATTTGGGTTGGTTCCAGGTCTTTGCTATTGTAACTGTGCTGCAATGACATTCGGGGCCATGTGTCCTTATAGTAGAATGATTATAATCCTTTGGATTATACCCAGTAATGGGATTGCTGGGTCAATGGAATTTCTATTTCTAAGTCCTTGAGGAATTGCCACACTGTCTTCCACAATGGTTGAACTAATTTACACTCCTGCCAGGAGTGTAAAAGTGTTCCTATTTCTCCACATCCTCTCCAGCATCTGTGTCTCCAGATTTGTATGATCGCCATTCCAACTGGCGTGAGGTGGTATCTCAATGTGGTTTTGATTTGCATCTCTCTAATGACCAGTGATGATGAGCATTTTTTCATATGTTTGTTGGCCTCATGTATGTCTTTTTTTGAAAGTATCTGTTCATATCCTTTGCTCATTTTTGAATGGGCTTGTTTGTTTTTTTCTTGTAAATCTGTTTGAGTTCTTGTAAATTCTGGATATCAGCCCTTTGTCAGATGGGCAAACTGCAAATATTTTTTCCCATTCTGTTGGTTGCCGATTCACTCTAGTGACTGTTTCTTTTGCCGTGAAGAGGCTGTGGAGTTTGATTAGGTCCCATTTGTCTATTTTGGCTTTTGTTGCCAATGCTTTTGGGTGTTTTGGTCATGAAGTCCTTACCTACTCCTATGTCTTCAATGGTTTTGCCTAGATTTTCTTCTAGGGTTTTTATGGTGCCAGGTCTTATGTTTAAGTCTTTAATCCATCTGGAGTTAATTTTAGTGTAAGGTGTCAGGAAGGGGTACAGTTTCTGCTTTCTGCACATGGCTAGACAGTTTTTCCAAACACCAATTTTATTAAATAGGGAGTCCTTTTCCCCATTGCTTGTTTTTGTCAGGTCTATCAAAGATCGTATGGTTGTAGATATGTTGTGTTGACTCCGAAGCCTCTGTTGTGTTCCATCGATCTATATCTCTGTTTTGGTACGAGTACCATGCTGTTTTGATTATTGTAGCCTTGTAGTATAGTTGAAGTCCAGTAGTGTGATGCCTCCTGCTGTGTTCTTTTGCTTAGAATTGACTTGGCTATGCGGGCTCTCTTTTGGTTCCATAAGAAGCTCAAGGTGGTTTATTCCAGTTCTGCGAAGAAAGTCAATGGTAGCTTCACGGAGATAGCGTTGAGTCTGTAAATTACTTTGGGGCAGTATGGCCATTTTCACAATATTGATTCTTCCTAACCATGAACATGGAATGTTCTCCATCTGTTTGTGTCCTCTCTTATTTCATTGAGCAGTGGTTTGTAGTTTTCCTTGAAGAGGTCCCTTATGTTCCTTTTAAAGTTGTATTCCTAGGTATCTTATTCTTTTTGTAGCAATTGTGAATGGCAGTTCGTTCTTGATTGGCTTTCTTTAAGTCTGTTATTGGTGTATAGGAATGCTTGTGATTTTGCACATCGATTTTATATCCTGAGACTTTGCTGAAGTTGTTTATCAGTTTCAGGAGTTTTGGGCTGAGGCGATGGGGGTCTTCTAGGTATACTATCATGTCGTCTGCAAATAGAGACAATTTGGCTTCCACCTTTCCTATTTGAATACCCTTTATTTCCTTTTCTTGCCTAATTGCTCTGGCTAGAACTTCCAGTGCTATATTGAATAGTAGTGGTGAGAGAGGGCATCCTTGTCTAGTGCCAGATTTCAAAGGGAATGCTTCCAGTTTTTGCCCATTCAGTATGATATTGGCTGTAGGTTTGTCAAAAATAGCTTTTATTATTTTGAGATACGTTCCATCAATACCGAGTTTATTGAGGGTTTTTAGCATAAAGGGCTGTTGAATTTTGTCGAATGCCTTCTCTGTGTCAATTGAGATAATCATGTGGTTTTTGTTTTTGGTTCTATTTAGGAGGTGAATTACGTTTATAGACTTGTGTATGTTGAACCAGACTTGCATCCCCAGGATGAATCCTACTTGATCATGATGGATAAGCTTTTTGATGTGCTGTTGCAATCGGCTTGCCAGTATTTTATTTAAGATTTTTGTATCTATGTTCATCATGGATATTGGCCTGAAGTTTTCTTTTCTTGTTGGATCTCTGCCAGGTTTTGGTATCAGGATAATGCTGGTCTCATAAAATGATTTGGGAAGGATTCCCTCATTTTGGATTATTTAAAATAGTTTTCAGAAGGAATGGTACCAGCTCCTCTTTGTGTGTCTGGTAGAATTCAGCTGTGAACCCATCTGGACCTCGGCTTTTTTTGTGTGTTAGGTCCTTGATTGCTGCCTCAACTTCAGACCTTGTTATTGGTCTATTCATAGTTTTGGCTTCCTCCTGGTTTAGGCTTGGGAGGACACAGGAGTCCAGGAATTTATCCATTTCTTCCAGGTTTACTAGTTTATGTGCATAGAGTTGTTTGTAATATTCTCTGATGATGGTTTGAATTTCTGTGAAATCTGTGGTGATTTTCCCTTTATTGTTTTTATTGCATCTATTTGGTTATTCTCTCTTTCTTATTTATCAGTCTGCCTAGTGGTTTTTTCATTTTGTTGATCTTTTAAAAAACCAGCTCATGGATTTATTGATTTTTTGAAAGGTTTTTCGTGTCTCTATCTCCTTCAGTTCTGCTCTGATCTTAGTTATTTCTTGTCTTCTGCTAGGTTTTGAGTTTTTTTGATCTTGTTCCTGTAGCTCTTTCAATTCTGATGAAATTCTGGTGTCAATTTTGGATCTCTTCACTCTTCTCATGTGGGCATTTATTGCTATACATTTTCCTCTAGAGACTGCTTTAAATGTGTCCCAGAGATTCTGGTATGTTGTGTCTTCATTCTCGTTGGTTTCGAATAACTTCTTTATTTCTGCCTTCATTTCATTGTTTATCCAGTCAACATTCAAGAGCCAGTTGTTCAGTTTCCATAAAGCGTGCGGTTCTGAGTTAGTTTCTGAATTCTGAGTTCTAACTTGATTGCGCTATGGTCTGAGAGACTGTTTGTTATGATTCAGTTGTTTTGCATTTGCTGAGGAGTGCTTTACTTCCAGTTATGTGGTCAGTTTTAGAGTAAATGTGATGTGGTGCTGAGAAGAATGTATATTCTGTGATTTAGGGTGGAGGAGTTCTATCAGGTTTGCTTGTTCCAGGTCTGAGTCAAGTCCTAAATATTCTTGTTAATTTTCTGTCTGGTTGATCTAATAGTTGACAGTGGAGTGTTGAAGTCTCCCACTATTGTTGTGTGGGAGTCTAAGTCTCTTTGTAAGTCATTAAGAACTTGCCTATGTATCTGGGTGCTCCTGTATTAGGTCCATATATATTTAGGATCATTAGCTCTTCTTGTTGTATCTATTTTTTTACCATTATGTAATGTCCTTCTTTGTCTCTTTTGATCTTTGTTGCTTTAAAATCTATTTTATCAGAGATGAGAATTGCAACTCCTACTTTTCTTTTTCTTTTCTTTTTTTTTTTGCTCTCCATTTGCTTGGTAAATCTTCCTTCATCTTTTTATTTTGAGCCTTTGCGTATCCTTGCCTGTGAGATGGGTTTCCTGGACACAGCACACTGATGGGTTTAGGTTTTTTATCCAATTTGCCAGTCTGTGTCTTTCGATTGGTGTGTTTAGCCCATTTACATTTAAGATTAATATTGTTATGTGTGAATTTGATACTGCCATTTTGATGCTAGCTGGCTGTTTTGCCCGTTAGTTGATGCAGATTCTTCATTTTGTTGATGCTCTTTAGCATTTGATATGTTTTTGGAATGGCTGGTTCTGGTTGTTCCTTTCTATGTTTAGTGCCTCTTTCAGGAGCTCTTGTAAAGCAGGCCTGGTGGTGACAAAATCTCTGAGTACTTGCTTGTTTGCAAAGGATTTTATTTTTCCTTCAGTTATGAAGCTCAGTTTGGCTGGATATGAAATTCTGGGTTGAAAGTTCTTTTATTTAAGGATGTTGAATATTGGCCCCCACTCTCTTTTGGCTTGTAGGGTTTCTGCTGAGAGGTCTGCTGTGAGTCTGATGGGCTTCCTTTTGTGGGTGACCTGACCTTTCTCTCTGGCTGCCCTTAGCATTTTCTCCTTCACTTTAACCCTGGTGAATCTGACGATTGTGTGCCTTGAGGTTGCTCTTCTTGCGGAATATCTTTGTGGTGTTTTCTGTATTTCCTGGACTTGAATATTGGCCTGCCTTGCTAGGTTAGGGAAATTTTCCTGGATAATATCCTGAAGAGTAATTTTCAGCTTGGATTTATTCTTTTCATCACATTCAGGTACAACTATCAAACGTAGATTAGGTCTCTTCACATAGTCCCACATTTCTTGGAGACTTTGTTCATTCCTTTTTGTGCTTTTTTTCTCTGATCTTGCCTTCTCATTTTATTTCATTGAGTTGATCTTCGACTTCTGATATCCTTTCTTCTGCTTGGTCAATTCGGCTGTTGAAACTTGCGCATGCTTCACGAAGTTCTCGTGTTGTGTTTTTCAGCTCCTTCAATTCATTCGTATTCCTCTCTAAGTTGTCCATTCTTGTTATCATTTCCTCAAATATTTTTTCAAATGTTTTTTCAAGGTTCTTAGTTTCTTTGCATTGATTTAAAACATATTCTTTTAGCTAACGGAAGTTTCTGATTACCCACCTTCTGAAGTTTGATTCCATCATTTCATCACACTCATTCTCCATCCAGCTTTGTTCCCTTGCTGGTGAGGAGTTTTGGTCCTTTGTAGGAAGTGAGGTGTTCTGGTTTTGGGTGTTTTCCTCCTTTTTGCACTAATTTCTTCCCATGTTTGTGGATTTATCCACCTGTCGTCTGAGTGATTGCTGATTTTAAGATTGGGTCTCTGAGTGGACATCCAGATTGTTGATTATGAAGTATTTCTGTTTCATAGTTTACCTTCTAACAGTCTGGCCCCACTGCTGTAGGACTGCCGAGGTCCACTCCAGGCCCTGCTTGCCTGGGGAACTCCTGTAGCAGCTGCAGAACCGTGAGGGTTGCTTCCAGATTCTTCTTCTGCTATCTTTGTCCCTGAATGATGCCCGCCAAATGTCAGTCCGATCAGTCCTTTGTGAGGTGACTCTTTGGATATATGGGGGTCAGGGAGCTGCTTGAGGAGACTGTCTGTACTTTATAGGAGCTCAAGTGCTGAGCTATGAGCTTTGTTGTTTATTCAGGGCTGCTAGGCAAGATCATTTTAGTCTGCTGCAGCAGAACTCATAAAGCCCCTTTCTTTTTCCTTAGGTGCTCTGTCCCGGGGAGTTAGGGATCCATTTATGAATATCTGTTGCACTGTCCTCCCCAGCAAGGGGACAGTCTAATCACTGCTTGCCTGCAGTGGCTATGCTGAAGTGCCGTGGGCTCTGCCCTGTTGCCATGGGCTCTGCCCTATTGCTGTGGGCTCCGCCCTGCTGCTGTGTGTAATTTCCTATAGTCCTGTTTATATGGATATGCTTGCCTCTGTAATGGTGGACTCTCTCTTCCATTGTGGGTTGCCTCAGCAATGGGAGGCTGCATCAGCAATGGCAGTGTAGCTCTGTAGGGGTTGAGTGCCTCAGTAATAACAGATGCCCTTCCTGCTCCAAGCTGCACCATCCTGGGTTCTGCTGTGCTTGTCATGAAACTCTCAACCCGGAGAGTTTCCAAGTGCTGTTTTGTTTGTTTTTGTGGGGGTGGGACCCGCCGAGCCTGATCACCTGGCTCCCTGCCTCAGAACCCTTTTTTTTTTTCAGTTCAGCGGTTGACTCTCTCCCATGTGTTCCAGTCACCTGCTGCAAGGGCGCTGGGGTCCGTGTGATATCCTGTGCAGCGACCCACTGCGCCTGCTCAAATTACGTTGCTGCCTGGGAATCTCCTGGGCTGGCTTTCTGTTTAAGTCTCATTTAATCAGATGAATGTGCTAATCTACCTTCCAAAATCTCCAATTGCCAGTTTAACAGGGCAACCAAATAGGCATATTTTGTATGGAGTGTTGCTGTGCTGCGGCCTCGGCTCAAACAGCTGCGCCAGCCCAAACTACCGTGTGGCTCATGGGGCTCTTACACCTGGAAATCTTTTAGTCTGTGGACAATAAAGATCCATATGGAAATGGGGTGTCCACTCACCCTCTGCATATTGACTGGGAGCTGTAATCCTGAGTTGGTCCTAACAGCGCCATCTTCCTTAACAGGCCCTGTGGTCTAAAATTGAATCCTCAGTGAAGGATTTCTGCAGTGACTTGTGTTTGGACTTGTACTTGCTTTGCCATTTTAGTGTTTTTTCATCAAGTGGAAAAGCTTGAGACCCCCTTTTTTTCCTGACATCCTTTCTGACAGTATTTGGTGCCTGTAGGGGAGAGAGAAAAAATAATCAAATGAGCATTTTTGTCAGGTCCTCCTGAAGGCTGAGTCTGGAGGCACTGCTAAGTGATCATATCCCAGCAGCAGACAGACCTCCTGCTGGCAGCTTGAGCTGAGGGTGAGCATTGGACTGTGAAAGGAGAAGCACCATCCACAAGTGAGAAGAAACACCCCTGAATTCCCATGAACATCTTGTCAGCCTGGGGTGCAGGATATAGGGACCCCAGCTATGCCCAACAAGCAGCCAGGAACATCAGCCCATTTCCTCCTGATCCCCTCTGTCTGGAGCAGAGTGATGGCTTTTCCTCCCAGTGAGGATGCGCTCAGCATCAGTCATGCATGCTCAGACACAGAGGACTGCAGAAGGAGGACCCTCAGCAGAGAAACCCACCCCCTTACAACTCCATGTCCCAGTCTTCTGGGGAGGAGCAGAAACGCCCTGAGCAACACTCTAGATATAAAAAGCAGCAGGAACCTCAGATGACATCCACGTCCTCTTCCACCTTTTAAAACAGAATAGTAGTGATGCCACAGGGCTAAGATTGAACTAAGGCCACATGACTTGCTATTGACAACCCGGAACTAGAAGCAGGCACTGAGGCCCTTTCAATAGAGATTGGAGGAAGTGAGAGGAAAGGGTCCAATCTGGAGGTCTTGGCAGCCATGAGAGGCTGTTGGGTTACCCTGGCTAGGACAGGAATACTGATTTTACAAAGAACTATGATGTCTGTGGTGTTTATTTGGTTGATTAAAAAATTAAAAAGAAAAAAAAAACAAACATAACTATAAGTATTCTTTCAAAGGGGACCAGGAAAGAAAGAAAATTTGAAAGAAAAAATACACTTGAAATGAAATTAGCAGAAAGTGGGGAGTGTAACTATGGACTTACTTATTTTCCCTAATGCCCAGAAGTTGATTCCATACCTGGTTACACGTTAAGGCATTTCTAGGAATATTTTCACTATCTAGATGAACAAAACTCTTAAGTACGAGGTGAAATAAATAGTTTTTGTTATACTACATTCTCTCCTCCCACTTTCTCTTTTCCCCAAGTACATTTTGGAAAAGGTTTCTTTCTTTCTGTTTTTTTTTTTTTTTTTTTTTTTTTGAGACCAACTCTTGCTCTATCACCGGGCTGGAGTGCAGTGTCACAATCTTGGCTCACTGCAACCTCCACCTCCTGGATTCCAGCAATTCTTCCACCTCAGCCTCCCAAGTAGCTGGGGCCAGAGGTGTGTGCCACCAGGCCCAGCTAATTATTGTATTTTTAGTAGGGAAGGGGTTTCACCTTGTTTGCCAGGATGATCTCGATCTCTTGACCTCATGATCTGCCCACCTCAGCCTCCCAATGTGCTGGGATTACAGCTGTGAGCCACCGCACCAGGCTGACAGGTTCCTTTTTAATATTTAACATCATCTTTAAGAGGGGCATAAGGAAGCATTCACACGCAATCTCCTGCAGAATTTTAGTCTTGATGTGTTATTTGTTCTCTTCAGAAGCGTGAGACTAATAAGTTCTCTTTGGGGGCTTTGAGGAAGAACAACAATAGACTGAGAGTAAAATGTTCACACTGCAGTGCTGAGCCAATAAGTGGGCTATAAAATCTGTGTGGTTAAACATCACCTGTAAGATTTACTGTAAACTGCCAAAGAAAATGCTAAATTCCACTACATGTAATATGGGAGGTATTATTTCCCTACATTAGGCGTCAAAGTAATGACTGTTCCTCACTTTGTCTTGTATTGAAAATTGAGCAAGTATACTTCAAGCAGAGGCTAAAGGTCTAATCTCTTAATTTTGTTGGTTTCCTGTCTGATTTTTTTTTCTGTTCTATATAAACAGTACTATTGAGAGGGGAATACAGATCCCATCAAATGCTGATGGATGCTCAGCCTTTTCTGTGGAGTAGCCACACATATGGAACACTTCCATGTTGGCAACCTGAGGTCATAGAAGACCATTTGTCTTCCTCATCTTCAGGCACATATCAGAATCACGTGGGAGCATTTTAAAACTACAGACACCCAAACCACACCCCAGATCATGTCAGTGAGAATCTCAAGATTTGAGTTCAAGGCATGCATTTTAACTGAAATCTCATTAAATGTTTACTACATGGCAGCTAGATTTAGAGATATAAAATGGAACAACACAATTTCTCATCATTTTCTTTTCTTTCCCCATTTATCTCATGATCGGCTTTGTTCCCTGTGGTTCCATGGATTTCAGTCTTCTCTCTGACAACTTCAGTGAAATCTCTCTTATCAATTGGGCTGAACCAAAGCAAAGACTGTCCTGTAGACAGATGCTTGTCTGTCATCTCGTGTAGCATAAAGCAGGTTCTGGAGTCACTTTTCTCAAAGTTAATTCAGAAAATGCTCTCTCATCTACCCTGGCCTCAAGATTCATCTGAGTTGCATTTTAGACCCTTTACAACATGTAGAAATGGAAATGAGAATAAAATGGAGAGAGGTTAGACTGATATATCTCATGATGTATGCAGATTTGAAGTCCTGTCTCCAGTCCGGAAGGGAACTCCCACTTGTGACCCAGATTCAAGTTTAGTTTTCTAAGTGGGGCTCTCTGTGCTCAGCTTTAACACTTCTCATTCAGAGGAACAAGAGACGAGTAAGGGTGGACTTAGCTGGGTTCCTCCAAAGCCAACTCAAGAGGAAAACCTATGTGTAAATGATGTATTAAAGCCATGCTCCCTGCAGAAAGCAACAATGGAGTTGGGGATACAGGGAGGAAAGGTAAATTTCTGAAGAGAGTGTGCAATTCCAGGCAAGGAACCCTGTGTTCCACAGCTTAAACTGTACTTTAATGTGGACAAGTAGGGCCGGCTCTCCCGTGGTCATGAGAGGGACCATCAAGACAGCATAAGAAGGAATAGAGCAGAGTTCAAAGAGCAATGAGGAGATGGGGACAGAAAGGGCCTGGCAGAATGGGAGCCCATGGGACACTGGACACCAGACAGAGGTTACAGCAACTGCTAGGGAGAACAAATGGAAGAGAAAAAGCAGTGGGGGAATGGGCTGTCACCATAGACAGAGATAAATAAGAAGTGAGTGCAGCTAAAAGCCATAGATGTGATTACCTCTGCACCCTGAGCATGAAGGCCAACAGATCCAGTTGCTGAACGTGAGTTTTCTTTTTATCTTTTTTTCTTGAGTCGGAGTCTCACTCTGTCACGCAGGCTGGAGGACAGTGGCATGATCTTGGCTCACTGCAACCTCTGCCTTCTGTGTTCTAAGTGATTCTTCTGTCTCAGCATCCCAGCTAGCTGGGACTACAGACGAGCGCCACAACGCCGGGATAATTTTTGCTTTTTCTAGTAGAGACAGGGTTTTACCATGTTGGCCAGGATGGTCTTTGTCCCTTGACCTCGTGATCTGCCCACCTCGGCCTCCCAAAGTGCTGGGATTACTGGCGTGAGCCACCGCACCCAGCGTGAATGGGAGTATTCTTTTAATGTTCTTTGGTTTTGAAACACTGGACGCATGAATGTTGCCAGTGACTTGACGCCCTTGGGTGGTGTCTGCTGAGCCTTCGAGTGCATCATCTTCCAGCTGCGGAGCATTCTTCATCCCAACGGATGGGGCTAAAACCACCCAAAAGACATGAAATCAGGATTGTGGCCTTGGACAAGAAAGTCCAAAGGGGGAGGAAAAGCCAACAGAGTGACATTAATATTTTCTTTTTTGTTATCAACAAAAAGTTATGACATTTCTCAGTAATGAAGGTCCTGGAGCCACTTTCCTCAAAGCGAACCGAGAAAGTTCTCTCTCATCTACCCTGGCCTCAAGATTCATCTGAGTTGCATTTTAGACCCTTTACAACATGTAGAAATGGAAATGAGAATAAAATGGAGAGAGGTTAGACTGATATATCTCATGATGTATGCAGATTTGAAGTCCTGTCCTCTGCATGTATTTTGAATGTCATAAATGTCATTTAGTTAATGTCAGCACAAATGAGTCCTTGAGGTGAGAATACTGAGTCCCTGGCAATTCCATCTACATTGTCACAAGGCTGCACATCTGGGGCTGAAGGCAAACCTGGCTCCAGTCTGGTAGGGAATTCCCACTTGTGACCAAGATTTAAGTTTTGTTTTCTAAGTGAAGCTCTCTGTGCTCAGCTTTAACACTTCTCATTCAGAGGAACAAGAGACGAGTAAGGGTGGACTTAGCTGGGTTCCTCCAAAGCCAACTCAAGGGAAAAACCTATGTGTAAATGATGTATTAAAGCCACACTCCCTGCAGAAAGAAACAATAAAGTTGGGGATACAGGGAGGAAAGATAATTTCTGAAGAGAGTGTGCAATTCCCAGCAAAGAACCTTGTGTTCCACAGCTTAACTGTGTACTTGGATGAGGACAAGGTGGCCTGGCTCTTCTGTGGCCACCAGAGGGACCCTCAAGACAGCAGAAGAAGGAATAGAGCAGGGTTCAGAGAGCAATGAGGAGATGAGGACAGAAAGAGCCTGGCAGGATGGAAGCCCATGGGACACTGGGGTTAGACCAGACAGAGGTTACAGCAGCCCCTGGGGAGAACAAATGGAAGAAAAAAAGCAGTGGGAGAATGAGCTGTCACCATAGACAGAGAGAAATAAGAAGTGAGTGCAGCTCAGAGCCATAAAGGTGATTACCTCTGCACCCGGAGCGTGAAGGCCAACGGATCCATTTGCTGAAAGGGAATTTTCTTTTGATGTTCTTGGGTTTTGGGACACTGGAGGCATCAATGTTGCCAGGCACTTGATGCCATTGGGTGTTTGATGAGCCTTCGAGTGGATCATCTTCCATCTGCAGAGGGTTCTTCATCACAATGGAGGGGGCTAAAACCAGCTCTGAAAATAAAACAACAGCCAATGGCATCCAGTGGCATTTATGATCTTACTGTGACTTTCTCTTCCACTGAAAGAACATAAAATCATGAATGGGGCCTTGGACAGGAAAGTCCAAAGGGGGGAAGGAAGCCAACAGAGTAACTTTAATATTTTTTTTGGTTGATTTTTTCTTACATTACTCAGTAATGACAAGTGTGCCAGGAGGCAAGGGCACTCTCGATTCACAAAAATATTAAAGAAACTAAAGATTAAGAAACACAAGTAGCTTCAGGGTAGATATGGCCAAAGCAAGGGAATCACACTGTATGTAGGCTGTGCTTTGGGGAGGGAAGAGATTATAAGAGTGAAAGTTAAATCAGAGCTGAGTCCAAACAGGACAGGGGGGTGGAAGGGCCTGGCAGGGTGGCAGCCCATGGGACACAGAGGTGAGACCAGACAAACATTACAGCAGCTGATGAGAAAAGAACCGGGAAAGACTAAACCTGAAGAATTTACTAAACAAGCATCATTATATGATCTATTGCACATATATATACACACTACGTAGCATACACACCAAATGTACATAATATACATAGCAAATGGTGTAAATGCATATATCTGTAGACATTAAATTAATGAAAAATAATATATAGAGATTTTGGAGATATTTAATGTAACAGTATAATTAATATTCTTTTCCACTGAAATTGAAAAATAATAGAAACATGAGAAGAATGAGAAAGAAAAGGTGTGCAAAGAAAAAAATGAGCTGTTAAACATCAGAGAGAAATGACCAAGGAAACTATGAATGAGGCACCAGGCATTCACTCTTTGCTCTTACTGGGAGCCTGGTTCTGGCTTTGGACTCCAGGGAACGTGGGCAAGAGAGCATGCATCTGAGCCAGTGGGTTGGGTCTTGGCAGGGGGTGTAAGTGTCCATAGTGAAACAAAGGAGAATGTGGTGGGAAGAAATCAGTTTAAATTAGTTACACGGCACAGGTAAGGGACTGCACATCCCTGACACCCACTGAGCGCCATCCGGGTGTCCTCTCTACAGACCCAAGTGGTGCTCATTATCTCATGTGACCCTTCCTCCTCCTGAGGATGGGGTCCCCATATTCCTCAGCCAAGGGCCTTAGGATGAGAAATTGACTGGGACAAAGAGTAAGAATGTACAGGATACAGGGCACTAAGGAAATCTGAGCGGAAGTGAATCCCTGTGAGAAGGAAACTGAGGACATGGCCGAGGACATGAGTGGAGATGACCAACTAAATGGATTTTCATAAAAGAGACAGATGTGAACACTTTATATGTGAAAATTGCCCTTTGTTTTCAAAAATAGCAGAACAAGGAGAAAGAGGAGCTGGACATGTCATGACACTGACATGTTAGTCCAGGATTTACACTGTTCCTGAATGTGCCTCATAGGTTGTCACTAAAAGTACCTGACAGTGGAGAATTGGCTTCCTGGGGGATGGGGAAAGAGAGGAAGAAAACTGACAGAGGAGTATATGTGAGAAAGGAAAGGAAGAGGGGACTCTAGAGAACTGAGAGCTTCACAACTGCTCTACCTCAGAGAAGACAGAGTCTGTGAAGTCACTTTCTAAATGTAAACTTGGCAGAAAGACAAATAGATTAAATAACACATATTTATAGGTCTATTGAGTAATTGTTATTGAATCAGGCCCTTTGGAAATTATGATAATTAATACTCTCAGCGATGATTACCAGTAGATATTATATTTTAGGTAGCTCAGATGAGGAAACAGAGATTTGCATAGCAAAAAGACAAAATCCTTGGCCAGAGTGAACAACCAGAAGGAGGAAAACCCGGGACCTGAGAGCAGATTTTGTCCTAAGCCCCAGGCTCCTGCTCACCTTACTGGGTTGGAGTACTGTGCATTTAACTTGACCCTGAGGGAGCACAGAGAGGCTCCATTCTCTCCTCCAACCACAGCACCGTGAATACCAACACGTGGGCTAGACCTTCCTATCCCCTTTCCTTCCCTACCTTGGAAGAAACATTGGTTACCAGAATAAGCATTGACTCTAAAGCTGCAGGTGGTGGAGGAAAGGCCCCACCTGGCTGAGCCACTCCCAGAGTGGAACCCTTGATCCAGCTCACCTCGTGGACAACTCGGCACCAGGGTGCTTGGATCCAGTTGTGTCTGTGAAGCCTGCACCTTTGACAGGCGGTGGCTCAAGTCTTCACTCCAAGTCCCTTGGGGACAGGTGGCCTGGGTGGAAGCTGAAAGGAGAAGAAGCTTCAGTAGGAACAATCTCAGATTTCCCTTTGTTAAGCACCCCCAGAACACGCATCTCTGCTGTCCCTGTTTCTTGGTAAGCCACATAGTGGCCCAAGCCACACAGAGAGACATCATGTAAATGCAGGTGATGTCACCTTTCCTGTCTGTACCTGGGGACACTGTCATGGCAAGTGCCAGGCTAGAGTGTCCCTGAAGTGAAAAACCCCTCCTTCAGCCAAGGGAACTTTGGATTGGCTATAAAGGTCATGACGATTAGTCTGTCATTATTAATCTCTTTCCTCTGCCTACAGGGAACATTCTAGAGAGCCCTCAGAGCATAGGAGAGGAAGAACTGTTCTCCACAACACAGGTGTGTAAGAACAGGGCAAGCGCTAGTGCCAGGAGGCTTTGAGAGAAAACCATGAGAAAGACCAAACACTAAGTTAGGCTAACTTTTCGGGGTTCTGAGACATTTTGAATTTCTCATTGCCTGTAATGATTTAACCCCCTGCCCACACATCTTCATCCTAGTGTTGTATAATAATGGGTGTCAGCAGCCTTAGGCAATGTAGTGGAGGGACCAGTCCCTTTGCAGAAATTCAGGGATCATAAGAGCTATACATCTGCATGGGTGGTTCTGTAGGAAGGGAACACAGGGCACAGTCCTCACATTACCCACTCTCCAGTGGGGTTCGGGCATACATCCTAAACAAACTATTTCTATTTCCACAGGGAGAGGAATGCACATTCTCAGAGTGGACTAAGGAAAGACTTCCAATGACCTCATTCCTGTGCACTTCTGGCTCAGGACAGGGACAGGGTGCAGGGCCAGATCCATGTTGCTAGGGCTCCTTTCTCTCTTCCCCTCTCCTCATTCTCATTCACTACAAGAATTCCTAAATTTTCTTAAAACTGTGCTCCTTGTGTCTATTCTCTTTTGTCTTCCTGAGAGCACAGTGTATCAGAGTCTCATCAGTGATGCCTGGTTGTATACAGCCTCCCTCTCTGCTTTCTCTGACCTTGCCGTGTCCACTCTAGCAATTGTCTCAGCAGTTTTATCTCCCCAAAGTTCTGTTCTCACCATGTTCCCACTCTGCATCTGAACACTTTCTCTCCACTTCCCCCTGCGTGACTGTCCTTCTTATCCTGCCTCTGTGCTCCTTCTCACTTCTGCCCCACGATCCTAGCCAGCATCACCTTCCACCACGTGCTCAAACAGACTCTTCCTGAGGTCATGCTGGCCCCTCCGTGGTCCCACCCTGCACCAGGTGCCATCCAGCTCTGTGATTTCTGTTTAGAAGCCCTTCTCTAGACTGGGTTTCACCTCCCTAGTGGCTCAAAGCATTCCTTGTGTCTGTTCTCTTTCATCTTCCTGAGAGCACACTTTATTCATCATTGACCATCAGCCACTTAGGACACTCTCACATTTTAAGATAGCTCATATTGGGCAAATGAGAGAAACATCCTGAAACAACAAATCTGGCTGATGGAGACTGGGCAAACACAGCGCTCCTTTTCTGATTCTCTGCACTTGCTGTTTAGAATCAAGCTCTGGGAATGTCTTTAATTGTCACTACTTAATTTTCTCATCTCACTTTATCCCTCTATTCTAGACTACTGAGTCTTATTAAACTTGTACTTTGAATATTCTTTGCATTTTCAGAAGAAAAAAGAAAACGTTTTCTCAAACTTCTGAAGTACTGCAGTACTGTTAATGGGGCAGGTTGGGAGAAGCCATCAAGGAAAGATCCAGAGATAATTTAGGTTGTATTCTCCCTAAATCTACCAAGTCTTTCTCTGCAGGGAGAGCATGGGCAGAGCCGAACCATGCTGACACCACTGCTGGGGTCAGAGCTGTGCACTGTGCACACTATTCACACATTATTGTTGAGAAGCCACACACAGGAAGCATCCTTGTGTAATCTGAAGGACGCGTTCATTCATCTTGGCCCATCTGCATGGATGAATGTGCCCTCTCCTGCCCCATGTTCCAGATGGCAGGGCCGGCCAAATCACAGGCATCTCACTTCTAAGACTCGTTTCAGAGCATTTCCCTTCCTTCTTGTACAAGACCCATCCAGGCTGGGGTGTTCAAGAGATGCAGCTCTACAGTTTATAGAAACCTAAACATGGCCACGTTGAGAGTTGAAACCCTTGGGATGGGGAGGTGGGGAGAAACTAGGATCATTTACTCCCTGAGTGCTTTTCCAAAGGAGAGCCTGCTGGAGCTGTAGGTCCTCCTGGAAAGACTGGAGGAGCCACTGATTCTGCTGACAGACAGAGTGTACAGAGGTAATCCTTGAGAAATCTGTGCCAGGGACTACAGGACTTCTTTATCCTAGACCAGCAACTTATTCTGTTTCAGCCTGACTTTATTGGAAAATAATTTCTACAAAGAAAAAAGGGTGAGCACCCATCATGCCTCAGTCCCTGGGAGATGAAATCAGGCAGACAAAAAGACCATGCTCTCACCATGACTAGTCGTGCCATCCTGGGCAAGTGAAAGAAACTTTCTGAGTCTCAGCATCCTCAGCTCTAACATGGAGATGCCACTGCCCCCTTGGGAGCATTTCTTCAGCTCTGAATGTTTATAGCAGGACAGAGCTTGTTTGGCAAGGGGCAGGGCATATGCATATGAAAGGTCAAAGAGTATTTTATTTGTTTAATGAATCACTGTGATCACAGAAAATTATTTGCTTTTTCAAACTCAGGGAGAAATGCAAAACCGGAAAAGGTATGGTCCTGCTAGGAAAGGCACTCACTGACTGAAACAGAATAGAGACGAACATTTTTGTTGCTAGTTTCTCTCTCTCCTCTCTCTCTCTCTCAGTGTGTGTGTGTGTGTGAATGTGTGTGTGTGCATGTGTGTGTGCATGACACAGGTCTCACCTTGTTGCTCAGGCTGGAGTGCAGTGGTGCGATAATGACACACTGCAGCCTCAATTTCCCAGGCTCAGGTGATTCTTCCACCACAGTTTCCCATAAAGTTGGAAGTACAGGTGTGTGTCATCATGCCTTGCTAATTTTTCATCAAGACATGTTTTTGTAGTGTTGCCCACACTGGTCTCAAACTCCTCAGCTCAAGCAATCTACCCTCCTCAGCCTCCCAAAGTGCTGGAATTACAGGCATGAGCCACCGCACCTGGCACTGTTGCTAATTTTATTACAACGTAATCAGATATACTGGGGTACATCACAGAGTTACCTGCTCTTACTAGAAAATAGGTTGATGCTTGAAACTCCCAACAATGCACATGAAACTCCCAGAATGGAAGTTATAACATTTCATTGTTATAAAAAGTGTAAACAAAGCTCAAGGAAACAACTGCAGCCAGTAACGTGCTAAGATGACTGTTCTGTTTTATGAGTGCTGCTGTGAAATGTGCCTGCCATGTAAATGTCTGTCCTGGTCCTGGCCCAGCTTAGCTGCTGGTTCTCTCAGCTGAAGTGCTGCACTTCAGAGATCCACACCTTTGCCCCCCACCTGTCCCCACAGCGTCTGCTCACCTGAGCTCCTCAATTAATTTCAATTCTTCATATATGGTTTCTTCTCCTATTCGGTATATCTCTTTGTCCAGAGACCGGATGGTTAGGTGGTATTCATCACAGTCTGAGAAAAGAAAGTCATGCCAGCCTCAGTGGAAGGCTGGACAGGCTGTTGTGGTCACTGCCTACATGGAAGGTGGCAGCATTTATCCCAAGGACAAAGGCATCTCCACTATCAGGCTCCAGTGAGGGATTTCCTCATTTTTAGTTATAAGCCTTCTGACTCACTGGCATCTGATACTCTCCAACTTAGAGATGGGGAAAAAGAAACTCAGTGGCACATCAAGTAACACCTGGAATGAGACAGAGTCAGAATTCACAGCACCCAAGGTCTGACTCTTAGTTTTGGGCCACGTTCCCAAGCCTTGCAGCCTCTCCTGTAAAACACTCTATGGGGGCATGAAGTACTGATATTCTGGACAGTAGGAAATGCCCTTAGGACTGTGGGACTCATGGATTCCCTGGAACCGGGAATTTCAAGCACAAATTTGTTAAAAATTTGAAAAATCATATCTGAATATAATTGCATAAAATATGAGGCATTGGACCCTGAAATCATGAAAGAAATGTGGCCAAATACTAATAAATTTTGAATTAAGTTAGAAATAGTAGAATAAAGAAATAATAGTGTTTACTCTGTGCCAAGTATTGTTCTAGGAGATTTAAAAGAAACAGGTCATGTAATTCATTGCAGCAATTTACAGAGGTAGGTATTATCATAGGACCCAAAGAACAGATGAGGAAACTGAGGCACTGAAAAGCTCGGCTACTTAGATGGAGCCCAGGATTCCGGGACAGGATTCCTACTCTACACGCTACACTGTGACCTCCACAATGTCTAATGGGCCGTCGTTCTTCCTCTTTAGAATAAAAGCCTGTGACCCAGGATGCAGAACAATCCTCTCACAAGGGTACTTCCTGCTCTTGATGCCCTCACGTATAGATGCCACACTCACCATTGGGAGCAGAGGCTAAAGGTCTAATCTCTTGATTTTGTTGGTTTCCTGTCTGATTTTTTTTCTCTGCTATATGAACCGTACTATTGAGAGGGGAATACAGATAACATCAAATGCTGATGAATGCTCAGCCTTTTCTTCGGAGTAGCCACACATATAAAACACTTCCATGTTGGCAACCTGAGGTCACAGAAGACCAGTTGTCTTCCTCATCTTCAGCCACATATCAGAATCACATGGGAGCATTTTGAAACTACAGACACCCAAACCACACCCCAGATGATGTCAGTGAGAATCTCAAGGTGTGAGTTCAAGGCATGCATCTAAACTGAAATCTCACCAGCTGTTTACTACATGGCAGTAGGATTTAAAGATACAAAATGGAACAACCCAATTACCAATCATTTTCTTTCCTTTCCCTGTTTATCTCATGATTGGCTTTGCTTCCTGTGGTTTCATGGATTTCAGTCTTCTCTCTGACAACTTCAGTGAAATCTCTCTCTTATCAATTGGGCTGAACCAAAGCAAAGATTGTCCTGTAGACAGATGCTTGTCTGTCATCTTGTGCAGCATAAAGCAGGTCCTGGAGTCACTTTTCTCAAAGTTAATTCAGAAAATGCTCTCTCATATACCCTGGCCTCAAGATTCATCTGAGTTGCATTATAGACCCTTAACCGGACATGTAGAAATGGAAATGAGAATAAAATGGAGAGAGGTTAGAATGATATATCTCATGATGTATGCAGATTTGAAGTCCTGTCCTCTGCATGTACTTTTGCATGTCATAAATGTCATTCAGTTAATGTCAGCACAAATGAGTCCATTAGGTGAGAATACTGAGTCCCTGGCAATTCCATCTACATTGTCACAAGTCTGCACATCTGGGGCTGAAGGCAAACCTGGCCGCAGTCCAGTAGAGAACTCCCACTTGTGACCCAGATTCAAGTTCAGTTTTCTACGTGGGGCTCTCTGTGCTCAGCTTTAACACTTCTCATTCAGAGGAACAAGAGATGAGTAAGGGTGAACTTAGCTGGGTTCCTCCAAAGCCAACTTAAGAGAAAAATCCATGTGTAAATGATGTATTAAAGCCATGCTCCCTGCAGAAAGCAACCATAAAGTTGGGGATAATGGGAGGAAAGGTAAATTTCTGAAGAGAGTGGGCAATTCCAGGCAAGGAACCTGTGTTCTGCAGCTTAAACTGTGTACTTTAATGAGGACAATGAGGCCCGGCATTCCCGTGGTCATGAGAGAGACCGTCAAGCCAGCAGAAGAAGGAATAGAGCAGAGTTCAGAGAGCAATGAGGAGATGAGGCCAGAAAGGGCCTGGCAGCATGGGAGCCCATGGGACACTGGGGTAAGACCAGACAGAGGTTACAGCTGCCCCTGGGGAGAACAAATGGAAAAGAAAAAGCAGTGGGAGAATGGGCTGTCACCATAGACAGAGAGAAATAAGAAGTGAGTGCAGCTCAGAGCCATAGAAGTGATTACCTCTGCACCCGGAGCGTGAAGTCCAGCAGAACCATTTGCTGAAAGGGAGCTTTCGTTTGATCTTCTTGGGTTTTGCAACACTGGAGGCATCAATGTTGCCAGGCACTTGATGCCACTGAGTGGTTGATGAGCCTTCGAGTGGATCATCTTCCATCTGCGGAGGGTTCTTCATCGCAATGGAGGGGGCTAAAACCAGCTCTGAAAATAAAACACAGCCAATGGCATCCATGATCTTACTGTGATTTCCTCTTCCACCCAAAGGACATCAAATCACGAATGGGGCCTTGGACAAGAAAGTCCAAAGGGGGAGGGGAAGCCAACAGAGTAACTTTAATATATGTTTTTGTTGATCTTTCTTACATTACTCAGTAATGACAAGTGTGCCAGGAGGCAAGGGCACTCCTGATTTACAAAAATATTCAGGAAACTAAAGATTAAGAAACACAAATAGCTTCAGGGTAGATATGGCCAAAGCAAGGGAATCACACTGTATGTAGGCTGTGCTTTGGGGAGGGAAGAGATTGTAAGAGTGAAAGTTAAATCAGAGCTGAGTCCAAACAGGATGGGGGGTGGAAGGGCCTGGCAGGGTGGCAGCCCATGGGACACAGAGGTGAGACCAGACAGACCTTACAGCAGCTGATGGGAAAAGAACCAGGGAAGACTAAACCTGAAGAATTTACAAAACGTGCATCATTATATGATCTATTGCACATATATATACACACTACGTAGCATATACACCAAATGTACATAATATACATAGCAAATGGTGTAAATGCATATATCTGTAGAAATTAATCTAATGAAAAAATAATATATAGAGATTTGAGAGATATTTAATGTAACAATATAATTAGTATTCTCTTCTATTGAAATTTAAAAAATAATAGAAACATGAGAAGAATGAGAAAGAAGAGGTGTGCAGAGAAACAAATGAGCTGTTAGACAGCAGGGAGAAATGACCAAGGAAACCGTGAATGAGGCACCAGGCATTCACTCTTTGCTCTTACTGGGAGCCTTGTTCTGGCTCTGGACTCCAGGGAATGTGGGCAAAACAGCATACGTCTGAGCCAGTGAGTTCAGGCTTGGCTGACGGTGTAAGAATCCATAGTCAAACAAAGGAGAATGTGGTGGGAAAAAATCAGTTTAAGTTAGTTACATGGCACATGTAAGGGACGGCACATTCCTGACACCCGCTCAGCGCCTTTCAGGTATCCTTTCCACAGATCCAAATGGGGCTCATTATCTCATGTGACCCTCCCTCCTCCTGAGGACAGGGGTCTCTGTATTCCTCAGCTGAGGGCTCCAGGAGGAGATATTGCCTGGGACAAAGCATGAGAATGAACAGGATCCAGGGCGTTAAGGAAATCTGAGCGGAAGTGGATCCCTGTGAGAAGGAAACTGAGGACATGGCCGAGGGCATGAGTGGAGATGACCAACTAAATGGGTTTTCATAAGAGACAGATGTGAACACTTTCCGTGTGAAAATTGCCCTTTGTTTTCAAATCAAGCCCTTCTCTGCAGGGAAAGCTTGGGCAGAGCAGATACACACTGACACCATTGCTGGGGTCAGGGCTGTGCACTGTGCACACTATTCACACATTATTGTCGAGAAGCCACACACAGGAAGCATTCTTGTGTAATCTGAAGGGCGCATTCATTCATCTTGGCCCATCTGCATGGATGAATGTGCTTTCTCCTGGCCCATGTTCCTGATGGCAGGGCTGGTCACATCACAGGCATCTCAGTTCTGAGACATGTTTCAGAGCAGTGTCTCTTTCTTTTTGTAGAAGACCCATTCTGGCTGGTGTGTTCCTGAGATGCAGCTCCACAGCTTTACAGGGACCTAAACATGGCCAAGTTGAGAGTTGAAACCCTGGGGATGGGGAGGTGGGGAGAGACTAGGATCATTTATTCCCTGAGTGCTTTTCCAAGGGAGAGCCTGCTGGAGCTGTAGGTCCCCCTGGAGAGACTGAAGGAGCCACTGATTCTGCTGACCGACAGAGTGCACAGAGGTAATCCTTCTTGAGAAATCTGTGCCAGGGACTACAAGACTTCTTTACCCTAGACCAGCAACTTATTCTGTTTCAGCTTGACTTTATTGGAAAATAATTTCTACAAAGGAAAGAGGATGTGCACGCATCGTGGCTTAGTCCCTGACAGAACCCCCACAGAGAAATGACAGAGACTGGGCCATGAAGTCAGGCAGACAAAAGGACCATGCTCTCACCATGACTAGTCGGGCCATCCTGGGCAAGTGAAGGAAACTTTTATAGCCTCAGCATCCTCAGGTCTAACATGGAGATGCCACTGCCCCCTTGGGAGCATTCCTTCAGCTCTGAATGTTTATAGCAGGATAGAGCTTGTTTGGCAAGGGGCAGGGCATATGCATATGCAAGATCAAAGAGTATTTTGTTTGTTTAATGAATCACTGTCATCACAGAAAACTATTTGCTTTCTCAAACTCAGGGAGAAATGCAAAAGAGGAAAGGGATGGTCCAGGTAGGAAAGGCACTCACTGACTGAAACAGAATAGAGACCAACATTTTCATTGCTAGTTTCTTTCTTTGAGTGAGTGTGTGTGTGGATGTGTTTGTGTCTGTGTTTGTGTGAGTGTATGTGTGTGACACAGGTCTCACCTTGTTGCTCAGGCTGGAGTGCAGTGGTACAATGATTATGCACTGCAGCCTCAATTTCCCAGGCTCAGGTGATTCTTCCACCACAGCCTCCCATAAAGCTGGAAGCACAGGTGTGTGTCACCATGCCTTGCTAATTTTTCATAGGGACATGTTTTTGTAGTGTTGCCCACGCTGGTCTCAAACTACTCAGCTCAAGCAATCTACCTGCCTCAGCCTCCCAAAGTGCTGGAATTACAGGCATGAGCCACTGCACCTGGCACTCTTGCTAATTTTATTACAACATTATCAGATATACTGGGGTACATCACAGAGTTACCTGCTCCTACTAGAAAATAGATTGATGGTTGAAACTCCCAACAATCCACATGAAACTCCCAGGATGGAAGTTAAAAAAAATACAATGAGCAAGAAGAAATGAAAATCGGAATTTTTCTCTACATATCCTGTGAAGCTTCCACACCAAAGGTCACTTGCTCAGCGGAAGGGTTTTTTGGACATCATGAGGATAGAAATCACTCTGCTTTGCTCATCAGTTAGGCCAGTACCCCGTGAGGGACACTCATTCTCAACGGTTTTCATGAGAATATAGCACTGAGACCAAATCACGATTCAAACAACAAGCCCACACATGGAAAAAGCCACTGGAGCTCTGCAGAGCATGCAAGCCTGGACCTGAGTAAAGGAAGGGACGCTGGACTGCGTCAGTGGAGGGAGGTCACCTCCCAGCAGGTAGAGTCGCAGTCCCCAACCTTTGGGCACCAGCATCCGGTTTCATGGAAGACAATTTTTCTGCATCCAGGGTAGAGGGGATGGTTTTCGAATGATTCAATCACATTACATATTTTGTGTACTTTATTTCTATGATATTTCCATTACTCCACACACTACACTGTGACCTCCACAATGTGTAATGTGCTGTGTTTCTTCCTCTTTAGAATAAGAGTCTGTGCCCCAGGAAGCAGGACTTCCCTCTCACCAGGGTACTTCCTGCTCTTGATGCCCTCACGTATAGATGCCACACTTACCGTTAGGAGCAGTCTCCTCTTTAAGCTCTTTAGAGCAGGTACTCTGTACTGTCACCACGTTTCCCCCAGGGTCCCCAGAACAGAGATTTGCCTACTGGGTCTCAAAGAAGCTAAAACTGAATGGCAGTTTTTTGGTCCCAGACATTTACCAACAGACTACAAGTTATTTGTCTGCAGGATCTTACAGGGCACAGAAAGGATTCTCTTAAATGTGATATAGCCTCTTGCTGAGGAAAGTAAGTGCCTCTGTGTCTGTGTGAGAGTCAGTAAGTAGCATTTCAACTCTAGCCCCACCTCACACCGGACTGCTAACGTGGAAGGGTTGCTAAACACATCGTGCCTCCATTTTCCATCCTTAACACAATGAAGTTAAAATACCCATTTCTATTTTCCTAGAACTAAAGAAAGGATGAAATTAATTTAGATGAAGGGACCATTCAGTATCTCAGAGAGAAGCAGGTGCTTAGTCATCACTTTTGTGATGATGAATCTATAGAACTTACTGTATCTCTTCAGTTGCTTGGCCAGAGAGTAGACAGTAGCTTGACTTACAAGAAATTTCTCTTTGAGGTCTTGGAACTGCTGTTGGCTCTGTGCCAGCTGGGAGCACTGTAAGGCCATTTGACTTGCTGGGAGCTCAGACACGCCCATCCCTCTCCCTGCCTGAAAATTACGTCACCGGAATACGCCCATTATCTAGCTCCGCCTTGGAAATCCCCTCTGAACTCAGCACTAAGCTCTGCACTCCGCACCTAGCCTGCTCACCAGAAATCCTGCCCGCCTACCAATAGCAGCTTGCTACGTCCATGTCCTGTTTGTCCACAGGCAATCAGAACGCCTTCCCTCCCTGTAAAGCCTCATGCCTAAGAGAGGTCAGGCATAACTTCTCTGGCCTCTTTCCCAGGACCACAGAACCTCACCCAAGAGCCGAATAAATTGGCGTCTAATTGTTCTCATGCAGGCTCAGTTTCCTCATTTTAAACTCGGCAATAAACCTCACAAGAGAATAACCCTTACAACACAATTCCTGGTTGATTTATAGGATGTTCATTTCTGCCCTCTCCCTGGATAAATGTCCAGCAGATACCACATGCTGACGTTGGTGGCAGAAGAGGTATAACAGGGACTAGGGAGAAGAAACCAAAACACATGATGGGTCAAAAACAAGTGAAATCAAATAGGGTTAGTCAGCACTGAGGGATGACAACAGCTGGGATGGTTGACTTACGGTTAAGAAGAACTCCACCAATACCACAGAGTACTTAATCGCCAAAACAAAATTTAGAATACCAGAGCTCAGAGCCGAAGGCACTGCCTGTAGCTCAGACTCTACAAGAGTGAGGGAGGTTAGCAGCCGGTATCCCGGGTAACCATCTGCAGTCACAATAACAGAATTAGAAGGTGGGTGTGTCATGAAATCTTAGGAGCCCTGCATTCCAATTGCCCAGGCTGTGCTGAAACCAAGGCCCCCTGATCTCCCCTGAGAGTCACAGATGGGGATTATTTCCTCAGCAGTCCCTCTCAGTATTTGCTTACCCTTGTGACAGTGCTGCAGACTCACCTCTATCTTAATATGTCTAAGCGCATTCCTCTGTCCATCTCTTGTGTGTATAAAATCATGGAGACAGTTTCCCAGAAGGTTATATTTTCTTAGTGGTCTTCAGGAAGTCACCCCACCTTCTCTAAGTTAAAACAGATCTTAAGGCTTTTCCACACATGAAAGATGTCAGACTTTTAGACTGCCATGATATCTTCTGTGTTCTGCATTTTTTATTTCTGTACCTACTGAAAAGTTAATGAATAATTTAAAAATATTTTCTCCCCTGACTCAGTGTTCTCCTCGCTGCATCCCATTGTTATGTTGATTTCTTTTCTCTCACTGAGGCAGCATCTTGGCTTTTCATTACGCTGATGACCAGTTCACATCCCTAAGTGCAAAGCTCCTCCTCTATCTGTGGGTTCATTTGTTTCTTTGATGTCACTGACACTTTTTTCATACTTGTCACTTATCAATATCATTCTGTCTCACAAGAGCTCTTTTCAAGGGATCAAGTGATCAAAATCATTTGTGTATATCCCCTGAAAACGTGTGTGACCATAGACTTTGGGAAGTCTTGTAAACCTGATGCTATTTTGTTGTTTGCATTTAGTTTTCCCATGTATTGAAAGGAAAAGGAACAGGGCCATGAACAGTTCTTATGGAATATTATTGGAGATAAAACGCACACACACACAAACTTGCTATAACACCATTGATGTGTTGTTGCCTTCCCCAGCAGAAACTGGCAAGATCATGGTGATGGTCAGGGTGGTTGATGATGTTCATTATCTCTCACTGTGACCTGGTCTTGCTCCTCCACTTACCCTTGTGCTGCTGAAGCATCTCCACACACCGTCCAATTCCGTCAGTAATTGGGGCTCCTCTCAAAGCTCCCTGAAATGAGTCCAGGTCTCAGGATGTCAGACACATTCCAGATACAAAAGCAACCCACACCGCAGAGCCACTGAACTCCAGCCTGGGTGACAGAGCAAGACTCTGACTGGTCAAGGTTTTTTGTGAATGCGCCGACACTACGGGGCAGAAATGTTCTGTGGTCTGGACTCACTGCTGCAGGACTTGCCCTGGGACCTTCTTACCAAGAGCATCGGTGGAGCCTCCACTTCCAATGTCACTGTCGCCATGACTGCTAAGACACTAGGCCTGCTGGTGGACAAAGAAGGTGTCCTCGGCAATTTCACCAATGAGAAATATCATGAAATGGCCTCTCACCTTCAGCGTTCCCAGTGCTGACCTCTGCATGGGCTGCGGGACAGGCTAGACGGACAGACACCTCCCCCTACCCATACCCCTCCTGTGTGTGGTTGGAAAACTTTTTTGTTTTGCAGAATTGGGTATTTTTTCCTGAGTAAAAAAGATTCTACTAAAAAAAGTTAAATAACCGCACATATGTGGGCATATCATTTGAATCTGTATTCTTTGACTTCGATATATTTATGAATACTCACACCGGTCCTATTGTTCTGAAATTACTGTAGCTTTGAAATCAGGTTTAAAATCTAGCAGAGCAAGTCCTCCAACCTATTGCTTCTTCAAGACCAACTTGCCTATTCTAGGTTCTTCGATTTTCAATACATTTTGAAACAAGCTTTTAAATTTCTCTAAAATCTCCTACTAGAAATATTAATCAGAATTGTGTTGCTGTAATATGCTAACCAATTGAGTCTTTTAGTCAATGAACATGATATGTATTTCTCTTCTTGAATTTCTCTCACCAATTACTTTTAGGGGACTTGTACCTGCTTCATTCAAGTCCAAGGCTCTAGAATGCAAAGTCCGGGCTCCTCCAAAGCACTTCTCTTGCTCTGAGACATTAGGTGTGGCCTGTGGTTGCCAGCACCATCTTTGCAGAGAGGCCTCCCCTAGTCCTGGTGACACCACTGGCCTGGTTGGGACCAGGGGTTACCTCCGATCATTTCCCTGTGTGTCATAAAGACATAATAGTATTCAAGCCCAGTATGCCGTGCTCACTGAAATAACCGAAACGCACACCCTGCACAGTATGGTTCCTGTTAAAAACTCTGCTCATATTAGTTCTTGGGATATGTACTGACAAAAACTAATTTTTTTTCAATTGTGTAATACAATATGGAGAAGTTGAATAAAACATAGGTATAAATGCTTCCATCTGTTAACATGTGAGCACTAGCTAGCACTAAATACCAGCTTCCAGAACCTTCCCACATGCCCCTTCCTCACCACAGACCCCTCCTACCCTTCGCAACTACCACTACCTGATTTTCATGATGTTGGTTCTTTATAATTTTCTGCTTCTCATGCCCCATAATGGATCTAGGTTTAACCTGTAATCGTACATATATATTTTCTTATGCTTGGCTTTTTTTTTCACTAAATGTTATGGATTTAACAGTCATCACTAATTCATCCACTTTCATTGCCAATGAAATATACCATAATCTGTTTATGCATATACTTGATGATGGGCCTCTGGGCTGTTTCCCGTTTGTGGCTTACGCACTGCTGTGGTCATTCATGTAAGATGTCCAGGGGCATGGGAGCACCCATGTCCCTGCGTTACACACAAGGAATGGAATTCCTGTCCCTCTGTTTCACTGATCTAAGCCTTTTTGAGGTTAGGAAAAAATTGGGCTGGGTATAGTGGCACACACCACAGTCCCAGCTACTCAGGAGGCTGAGGTGGGAAGATTGTTTGAGACCTGAAGTTCGAGGCTGCAGTGAGCTATAATCACATCATTGCATGCCAGCCTGGGAGAAAGAGTGAGAGCCCAACCCCCTCAAAAATAATAAAACAGGAATGTGAAAGTCCCCATAATCAAGGGAAGGGAAAAGGGAGGAAGGATGAGAAGCTGTAGAAAGAAAGGAGGCTGGGGGTGCTTGACCAGGGCACAGAGTAGGGTCGGGGGCATTCCAGAGAAAGGGTCTGCCATTCTGAGGGTGACAAAAGAACCACCTTGATGGTTAGCTCATCCCCCACCTCCTCCTCCCTGCTCTTCCACATGTGCCTCCTTGGCCCTTTGCTCATCCATCTCCGCCTCCCGCTTCTTGCCATCCTGCTCCATCTTGTCCTATCTGGTTAATGCTTCTCCTCCACTCCCCAGCTTCATCCCTCTAAAGCACACAGCCACAGGCTCTGGAGCACTGGAAGCTTTGCCCAGTCTGAGAGAAACACGAGGAAATATTTTCCAGCAGCAGCAGAAATGCGAAAGCACCTTTCTCTGGCCAGGATGTTTTGAGGAAAGCAAGTAAGATTGCTTCGCCTGAGGCTCGGAGCCTCCACAGCCAAATCCCTCAGCCTGGGCAGTGCAGGCCTTAGGCCGACCCTGGGATGGTGTGACCAAAAGTCAGGAACCTCTGGATATGCAGGGCTAACATCTGCCACAATCTTCCCGGAACTGAAACCACCAGGCATCTTGTGACATTACAGAGTTCCAAGGGAAAGCACCATGGCACCCTTTGTGGCCTCTGTGGGGACTGCAAACAGAGAGTCCTAGGGACCCTCCTGGCCCTTGAAACTGTATAGGACAAAAGAGTAGGAACAACTTATTCTTTAAGTACAGTAGGCACACAAGCATATTTTAATTTCTTTTAAAATCAGAGGGAAATGGAAGAAATCAGCAGGTTTAGTGCAAGTCCTTTGTTCTCAGTGGTCTCTAACAAGGAACATCCTCCTCCAGGTAAGGGGTCCTACCTGGAAGGCCCAGAGTGGAGTTCCTTCAGCTCTAGCAGTTCATCCTCTGTTCATCTTTCCTCTTTTTCATGCTGGAGGATTTCAGAGCTCAGGGCAAGAGTGTTTTTGAAGATCACAGTTGCTGCTTGTGTTAGGAGACATGAGGAAGAATTGCATTATGCATCCCATCAATGGCCCAATTTTCTCCCAGCCTACATGGATGAGCTGAAGTGAAATAACAGTTTAAGGAGGCCAAGTCACCAAAGAGGTTTCTATGGCCAAGGCAGCACTAGCGCAGCTCCTAAGAGAAACTCAGCATCACCACCAGGCAGCTACATCCTCAGCTCCATCGGCGCTGGAGTGTCATGGGTGAGAGGAAGGGAGAGATATAGCCATGAGGGGGAGGTGCAGGAACCCAAGAGTGTGTGAGGAGAAACAGAAAGAAACAGTGAATACAACTATTGAAAACAAAGGTGTTTTAAGTTATGTCAAGAATCAGGAAGCTGTGATGACCTCCCTGTTGAAACAGAGTCCCTCGAGATGCCTCTCACCTGTCAGGAAGCCTCACAAGACCCCACATCACCATAGAGCTGTTGACCATGAACACAAGGTTCAGCAGGCCAGAGCTCCAAGCCATGTGACTTCCCCCTGAAAATCACATTGTGATGATTTATGAGGAACACTAATGAAATTAAGCTTATCACATATCATATATTGAGCAATTATGTACCAAGCTTATTAAAATTCATCACAGTCCTAGCCTGTAATTGCTCAGTGGGAATTCATCACAGTCCTAGCCATAATTGCTCAGTGGGTAAAAGTTAATTTTTAGAGTGATGAATTATCTTTGAATTACTGGTACAATATGAACTAATTTCTCAATGGGATAAATAGAGGCAGTATAAATAACTCTGTATAAAACTTTTAATAATAAATATAAAAATCATCCACTTCCCAGATAAATATAAAAGATAATTCATTAAGAACAAAGAGGATGGCTCAACTCCATTGCTCTGCAGAGAAACAAGAGTCTCTTTATGCGTGTCAATAAGCTGTACTTATCTTGACCTCTAAGTCCATGTAATAAACAGAAAGCTTCAATTAATAAGTTAAGATTTTTGGAGTTCAAAACAAAAACCACAAGCTAGCAGTGAAAACTGGCATCGTGCTTCTGCAGTCACAAATGGGCAGATGCAAAAGATTATATGGTTTGGGAAGGAAATTTGGCAACATATTGAGTTTAATCAGAACCTAAAGGCCACCGAGTATTTAACCTATAAGCTAACCATGACCCTACACGCGGATTATTCTGGTTTGACTTTGGCCAACACTTATTTTTTAAAACTTTTAGTTTCAGGAGTATGTGTGTGGGTTTCTATATAAGCACATGTTGTATAGATTATTTCATTACCGAGGTACCAAAACTAATACCCGATAGTACTTTTTTCCGCTCCTCTCTCTCCTCCTACCCTCCACCCTCTGGGGCTTACACCCCAGCCAAGACCCAACTCACTGGCTCAGACGCATGTGCTCTTGCCCACGTTCTGTTGAGTCCAGAGCTGGAACCAGGCTCCCAGTAAGAGTAAAGAGTGAATGCCTTGTGCCTCACTCATAGTTTCCTTGGTCATTTCTCTCTGATGTCTAACAGGTCATTTGTTTCTGAGCACTAGCATTTCTTAGCAGTATTATAAATTAAATCATGTAGATTGTGTTTAAACATGCTGATATTGCACACAATAAACCACAGTAAATATAAACATAACTTTTGTATACACTGGAAGACCAACAATTTTGTGTGACTCCCTTTATTATAATATTTAATTTATTGTGGTGGCCTGGAAATGAATCTGCATTATCTTTAAGGAGTGTGTGTGTGTGTGTGTGTGTGTGTACCTCATCAATAATGTACTCCAGGGGTAAGCTGGTAAATGTGACAATAAAGTCATTACACTTCTCTAGCTCATAGTCCACTGAGTCATACACATCTCATGTTCCACACTAATAAGTTCAGACATAACTTTTTTCAGGTTTCTTCTTTGTGAACCAGTTTAAGCTTTAGGTAGATGACAAAGTAGAGGTTATGGGAGTTCGTGTGAGGTGACTGAAATAGGCTGAACAGCCAGATGTGGAGACACAGTCCAGCTGTCCAAGTAATTTTTACATAGAACTTATTGTACATATTGTATCCATGTAAACAAATACTTATGTAGGGCAGGAGACATGGCAGTCTTCCTTGTTAAAAAAGACACTTCAAGTTCAGAAGAGGCACTTTTCTATTTAATGCTGCCCTATAAAGTTGAGGAGGTGCCCTTTGCCATCCTCTTGGAGAAAAAGTGAGGCATCCGGGCGAATAGTTTTCATGACTCATGCACTGTTCATAATGACTCTTCCAAATGTTACTCATTATTACATAGCATAGTTCCTACACATTTTGTTGATCTAGTTTCTAGTAAAAGATCACTTGCATTTACTTTTTATATCTCTACTAACCCATGTGCATGTACACACATACACAAAAAGCCAAGACCAGTATTTTTGTTTTATAAATGTAATCTATAGACTTTGAAATAGCTGTGGAAGAATTGAGAAAATAGCCTACTGGCTTAAGTGAGAAAGAAGAAAGATCAAAACAAATATGAGGCACAATCTTCTCTTGTTTTAAGGAATAAGTGAGCATTCTGCCAGGCCTCTAGCTGCAGGCCTCTGGAAAAAGTCCAGCCAGATCTCTAGGATCTTCTCTTGAGCACAACACACAATTTGGAGAAAGTTTAGAATTCAAACCCAAGGGAGGGTTTGACGCTTTGGACTCTGGAGAGGTTGAGAATTAGGAACTCTGGAGGTGGGCTGGCTTCTCCTAGTGGATCGCCCCGGGTGCGGTCCCTCCTTGCTCCAGCATTCACTCTTTTGTCAACACTCTTGCAGCACCCTGCCTCAGCTTCTGCCTAACAGATGGCTTCTGGCTTGTACACATTAGGAAACTATGACTCTCATGTGTACTCTAATTTAGGACACCTGAGTGGGGATAACCACGAACCACGCTACACCTGAGTAGCTTGGTGACTTCTGCCTGGGTCTTCTGTGCCTGCCATTTGTCATTGATTTATAATCCTATTACCTACTTAATTAGTCACAAGCAGAGTACCGAATTTTGGGAGATTTCACCCTGTTCAAATGCAGTAAGTCCATAAGGAAGTAAAAAAGAGGGAAGGTACTAGGTCACCTCTCAGACATACTTTAATCTATGTCTTGAGCCCAGATACTGTAGCAAACTCCATACCAGAGCACATATGCCTGACAATAGCTGAACATGAAGGCTACCCCCAACTATTAAGCCATTCTACATTCTATAGAGCATGTAAGTGTTCTGGGGTTAGTGTCAATATTAGGTGGGGCTAATGCCTCATGACATAGAGTATTGGGAAGGACAATGGTAAAATTAGTGGAGTCATTGCAAGCAGAGTGAACGGTTTTCAGGATGCCTCACAATGTAGGAAACCGTGATGGTAGGACATGGCCATGCGTAACCTAACGTAACCAAAAGTAGTCCAGTAATACAACAAAAAACAGAATGTGAAAGGATGAAATTGTTGCCTTTGTACTTACATTGCCTGCCAACTTCTGACCCCTACTACTACGTAAAATACAAGAGCAGTCCATTGGTTTATTTTCTCTAGCAGATCCCTCTCTGCTTGTGGTTCGTTTGAAGGATAGAAAATATACTCACATGTCCTTGTGAATACAAATTGTATCTGATTTGTGAATTATGTGAAGATTTGAGTAAGAAATAAAGTGATACTAACCTTAATAAATCCAAATTTCCACCTGCCCCAAGCGTGAACCAGACTTTGTAATTTGTTCTTGCACATTCCTCTCGGATTCCCTTTTTCAAAACCAATATTCTAGATTCTCAATGTGTTAGTTTTGCATCTTTATTCTTTTTAAAATTTTGACAGTAAATGCGTAACTCATTGTATTTATTTAATTGTTTGTTTATTTATTTTGGAGACGAGTCTTGTTCTATCACCCAGCCTGGAGTTGGAGTGCAGTGGCACCATCTTGGCTCACTGCAACCTCCACCTGCCAGGTTCAAGTAATTCTCCTGCTTCAGCCTCTTAAGTATCTGAGATGACAGGCATCCACCACCATGCCTGGCTAATATTTTGGATTTTTAATAGACATGGGGTTTCACCATGTTGTTCAGGCTGATCTCAAACTCCTGACCTGAGGCGATCCACTGGTCTTGGCCTCCCAAAGTGCTGGGATTATAGGCATGAACCGCTGTGCTTGGCCCTATTTGGGAGATTTTTAAATTTGCCTTTAAAGCCGTTTACTGAAATATAATATAATACTTGCAAGTAAATCACAGTGTAGGTCACATCATTTAAACACATTGCATTGTGTATAACTAGCACCCTAGATCAAAACCCTCAGAAGCCTTTTCAGTTTCCTTTCAGTTTCTATTCTCTTCCAAAATACTGACAAATATAACTGATTTGTTTTAAATTTTTTTCCCCTCAAATATATGTGTAGTATTGGATCCATTATTAATATGCTTTCCATGGTTAAAAAACCTTTGTTTTTTTAGGCCTAAACTGCAGTCCAGTTACATTTAATGCACATCTCTATAGCCTTATTTTGGTGAGTTTAATAGCTATTTTCAGAAGTGTACAGTAATTTGGATCCAAAGATATAAGCAAATGGAAAATTTACTTGTAACATACTCTAGGAGCTTTTCCACAAACTACCCTTGACTTTAATGAAATGTAACCCCCGTGTACAATATAACTTAATAGCCAACCTATCAAATGAATTCCTTTAAGTCATGATAGTCTACTGGCATGCCAAATTGATTTAACAGTGTGCATTTTTCACGCTTGTGAAGTAGATAAAATGTCATTGTATATCTTGAAGTTTGGATTTCTCTTATCGCGACATTGCACTCCAGCCTGGGTAACAAGAGCGAAACTCCATCTCAAAAAAAAAAAAAAAAAAAACCAACTCGTTTCAGCCTGATGAAATAAAGGCTCACTTCTTTTTGAGTCTTTTCTTCTGCATGCGGGTAAAGGAGAGTCTTGCAACTTTGTTGCTAGAGTCTCTGTTTTCCAGATGCCTAATGGTAGCTGCGCCGAGATCGCGCCATTGCACTCCAGCCTGGGTAACGAGCGAAACTCGGTCCAAAAACAACAAAAAAGGCCTTTATTTCACCCAGCTGAAACGAGTTTTTTTTTTTTTTTTTGAGATGGAGTTTCGCTCTTGTTACCCAGGCTGACTCGTTTCAGCCGGATGAAATAAAGGCATCACTTCAATTTTGAGTCTTTTCTTCTGCATATCGGCAAAGGAGACTCTTGCAACTTTGTTGCTAATAGATTCTCTGTTTTCCAGATGCCTAATGGTAGCTGGGCTAGCACTAACACAAAACAAAACAAACAAACAAAAAACTCGTTTCAGCTGGATGAAATAAAGGCGTCACTTTTTCATTCTTATTTTTTTATTTTTTTTTTTGAGACCGAGTTTCGCTCTTGCTACCCAGGCTGGAGTGCAATGACGCGATCTCAGCCCGGCGCAGCTACCTTTAGGCATCTGCAAAACAGAGAATCTATTAGCAATAAAGTTGCAAGACTCTCTTGGCCCACATGCGGAAGAAAAGACTCAAAATAAAAGTGAGCCTTCGGACGTTGCGGTGAGCCGAGATCGCGCCATTGCACTTTAGCCGGGTAACAAGAGCGAAACTCCGTCCAAAAAAAAAAAAGGACCTTTATTTCACCCAGCTGAAACGAGTTGTTGTTGTTGTTTTTTTTTTTTTTTTTTGTTTTTTTGAGATGGAGTTTCGCTCTGTTACCGAGGCTGACTCGTTTCAGCCGGATGAAATAAAGGCGTCACTTCAATTTTGAGTCTTTCTTCTGCATATCGGCAAAGGAGAGTCTTGCAACTTTGTTGCTAATAGATTGTTTTGCAGATGCCTAATGGTAGCTGGGCCGAGCCGAGATCGAACCATTGCACTCCAGCATGGGTAACAAGAGCGAAACTGGGTCTCAAAAAAAAAAAAAACAAAAAAAAAAACCTCGTTTCAGCTGGATGAAATAAAGGGGTCACTTTTTTCATTTCTTATTTATTTATTTATTTTTTGAGACCGAGTTTCGCTCTTGTTACCCAGGCTGGAGTGCAATGGCGCGATCTCAGCTCGGCGCAGTACCCTTAGGCATCTGCAAAACAATCAGAGAATCTCTTAACAATAAAGTTGCAAGACTCTCCTTGGCCCACATGCGAAAGAAAAGACTCAAAATGAAAGTGAGCTTTCGGACGTTGCGGTGAGCCGAGATCGC